CCTTCCTTCCTTCCTTCCTTCCTTCCTTCCTTCCTTCCTTCCTTCCTCCCTACCCTCTTTCTCTCCTTTCTCCCTGTCTTAGTTAGGGTTTCATTGCTTCGAAGAGATGCCATGACCTTACAGTGACTCTTATAAAGGCAAACATTTAACTGGGGCTGGCTTCCAACTTCAGAGGTTTAGTCCATTATCATCATGGCAGGAAGCGTGGCAGCACATAGGTAAAGATGGTGCTGGAGGAGCCGAGAGTCCTACATCTCAATCCAAAGGCAGCCAGAAGGAGACTGTCTTCTGCCGGCAGCCGGGAGGAGGTTCTGGATCACACTGGCCAGACTTGGGCATCTACATGAGACCTCAAGGTCCTGCCTCCACAGTGACATACTTCCTCTTAACAAGGCTACACCTCCTCCAATAAGGCCACAGCTCCTAACAGTGCCACTCCGTAAGGGCCGAGCATATTAAAACCACCATACTCTATTTCTTTCTGCTTATGATATTGAGATTGAACCCAGGGCCTTAATATCTAGGAAATCCCTCTAACACTGAGCTCTATTACCGTCTAGATAAATATTTCAGTTTTCTACAAGGGCTCATTAAATTGCCCAGGCTGGCTTTGAACTTACTGCATGGCTCTAGCAGGCCTTGAGCTTGCAAGTTATCTGCCTCAGCTTCCCTTGTAGCTGAAATCACAGATATGTGGTGCTGGAACACATACAGTGTGTCTGTTTTGGTCACTGAATTCAGAACCTGTCTAGCACACCGTGGGGTTTAATTAATATGATCGTTACTGGTGTGTGTGGGGGTGCTGAGGATGAAACCCCTCTGTGTGCTAGACTCTGATCTGAGTTCTGGATTCAGTGAGCAAAACACACACTCCGTAGTAGACAAATTATTTGTGGTATCTAGTATATTCAGATATGACTGTGAGGACAGAACAGGGATCGTGCACTGCTCTCTGAGCTCAGGAGACCTAGCCAGCATCACTGAATGAACGAAAACTAGATACAATCCTATTTAACTATTGCTTGTCTATCCAATTGTTTTTGAAGAGATTCTAACTTCAAGATTGTCCTGGCCAAGCTGAAGGCTAAATATTGTTAATAGCTATGGCTACTGACAACAATGCACTGTCGTGACACTGAAAAAATTACCCAGTCACCCTTTCTGAACTTTCACAAGGAAAACTTCCTGTCTGTACCTCAACATTGCCTGAAGTGTAAACCACAGTCACCAGTTTCTGCCGCTCAAACACTGACACAATATGGCCTCACACAGAGCTGTGAGACCATGTTGCCATGGCAACCTCTATTCCCATCATCATGAGCTAATTGTTCAGTTCTCAAACTGCATGCTCCTGAGGTTCAGCATGCTTCAACTCTGCCAGACCTCAGCCGTCAGGAAATTAAATGATGTGTTATTATTCATCATAGTTATTTGTTAACAATTTATATTTAGAAATGGGGAAAGACATGGAAAAGTGGAAAAGGGTTTTTTAAGGAGGTCCTTTCGATCTATCTAGTGCTACTTTAAGTATCGACACCAGTTTTGCCTGTCGTTGGATCATTCTCCTTACTTTGATGGCCCCTAAGTTATACTGGCCCTGTCACATACCTCCACCTTTCGAGCATATTTGTGTTTCAAGATAAGAGAACTTCACTTCACAAAATTTGCCTTCTTGGTTTCATTCTTTAGGAAACACCAAAGAAAATAATTGTGGGAGAGTATGTGATCAATGTGATTATGGAGCAGAAGAGCCCGTTAAAAGAAAAATGAACCAACCAAAAAGTCTCCAAATGCTTGGTTATTTCAAAAAAGAAAAAAATAGTTTATACTGTGTAATTACTATATTATATTAATGTACCTAGTTTATTGTATGTTTTTCAAAGTATACTTATAGTAACTTAAGTTATAAAAATAAATGAAGACTTTCGTTCTTTTCTTTTCCCCATACCTCTTTGAGACAGGCTTCTATTATGTAGCCAAGCTGGCCTCAAACTCAGTCATTTTTCCAGCATATCCCTTGAGTGCTGAGATTACAGGCATTCATAGCTATTCATGGTTTATATAACCCTTTCCATCAGCACCCCAATACTATAATCTTTATAATTAGATTTAATTTTCTTACTAATAGAGTAAATTATCTCGTTTTCTGGTTATATTTTTAGTCCTTCACTTAAACAAAGCTTCTAGCTCTGTTTCCAGTTCTCACCTTAATCTTGAATCTGAAAAGATCTTGAGGACCTGAACTGAGTGATACTAAGTGTTAATGAGGAGAGATACAGATGTGAAAATTAGTTATGAGATGGATATAAGATATCTTGCTCTGTTCCTGCTGCTAAAGATTTATATTTATAAAGAGAAGTTTGTTTATATTATCATAGTGTATATTTATTTTTATAAACAACAAAATTGAAGTGTCTCAGGGTGGTGGCACATGCCCTTAATCCCAGCACTCTGGAGGTAGAGGCAGGCAGATCTCTGAGTTGGAGGCCAGCCTGGTCAACAAATGGGTCCCAGGATGAGCAGGGCTACACAGAGAAATCCTGATTTGAAAAACCAAGAGAAAGGAAGGAAGGAAGGAAGGAAGGAAGGAAGGAAGGAAGGAAGGAAGGAAGGAAGGAAGGAAGAAAGAAAGAAAATTGAAGTCTCACAGTGTAGTTCTGGAGGCTGAACACAGCATAAACAACATTCCAGTAGATCAGTGTCTGATGTGAGCCTACTTACTCCCCAGGGTATCTTCTATGGATCCTTGAATAGTGGAAGGGACAGGCAAAGAGGCAAACAAGATCCCATAGGCTGCTTTTATAGGGGCCCTAATCTTGTTTATGAGAACTTCACCCTCTTGACCTCTTCACCTCCCAAACTCCTCTCTCTCTCTCTCTCTCTCTCTCTCTCTCTCTCTCTCTCTCGTGTGTGTGTGTGTGTTGCATCTATGTGAGTTTCCAGGTTTGCGTGTCCGTGCCCATGAATGTAGAGCAGAGGAAGACACCCAGTGTCTTTTCTATCTCTTTCCTCTTTATTGCTGTCTTAGTTAGGGTTTCTAGTTGTTGTGAGGAGACACTATAACCACAGCCACTCTTACAAAGAAAAAACATTTAATTGGGGCTGGCTTACAGGTTCAGAGATTTAGTCCATTACTGTCAGGGCAGGAAGCATGGCAGCACACAGGCAGACATGGTGCTGGAGAAGGAGCAGAGAGTTCTACATTCAGATCTGCTGGCAGCAAGAAGAGAGAGACACACTTGAGCATCTGAGACCTCAGAGCCCACCCTCAGTGACCCCAGCCCACCTCCAACAAGGCTACACTTCCCAATAGTGCCAGTCCCTATGAGCCTGTGGGGGCCATTTCCATTCAAACCACCACAACTGCCTTGAGACAAGGTCCCTCACCGAACCCAACTCACCATGTTGGTTAGGCTGGCTGACCAGTGAGCTTCAGGATAAGCTTGTCTCAACCCCTTCCTCCCCATAATGCTGGGGTTACAGGCATGCATAGCCGTGCCAGACGTTTTACATTGGTGCTGGGGATTCAAGCCTAGGTCCTCATGCTTGCACAACATTCTCACCCACTGAACCACCTCCGCTGTTCTTCAATATATGAACATTGGAGAGACACAGGAATTCAGATCATAGTAGAAGGTGAAGGGAAAAGCAGGTGACTGCCAACTTTCCATCATGGGTGGGCCAAGTAGTAAGTTGACATCACCAGCCACTGAGTTAGGGTGTCTTTTCTAGAATCCCTGAACAAGCAGCTAGAGATACCTACTGGAGCATGTGGCCCATCCAGCAGTTATGTGAGCCAGACACACGATGCCTCAGTGGTTAAGAACACTTATTTCCCTCGTGGAAGCCCTGGGTTCAGTTCCCTGCAACCAAACAGTAGCTCAAAACTGTCCATAACTCCAGTTTCAGGGGTAGAATACCCTTGTTTGACCTCTTAGGACACAGCCATACACATGGTACACAAGCAGGCCAAACACACAGGAAATAAGGTAAATTAATCTTTTTTTTTAAATGTTTAATAATATGGTCACACGCAAAAGCTCGGCTTGTGGTGTGTTTACTGGTAAATTATCCCTGCTGAACTCCTGGCCGGCAGCTGTTTCCGAATGGCTCCTGCACTAAGTAAGACCCAATGGATTGGAGTAGACCAGACTGGTGTCATCTGGGGCGAATAGCCAATGAGAATGAACTTTGACATTAGCCAGTGTCAGTCAGGGCTCAGTGGTTTATGCCTGTAATCCCAGCACTTGGGAAGGCAGAGGTAGGCAGATCTCTGTGAGTTCAAAGCCAGCCTGGTCTACAAAGTGAGCCCAGGCTGGTGAGGGCTACACAGAGAAACTCTGTCTTGAAAAAAAACAAAACAACAACAAATTATCCATTCTAAAAAGATAAAAATTGAAAACCTGGAAATTCACAGCAGTGTCTTTCAGAAGTGGCCTAGTTTCCCCAAGCCACCGTAAGAAAAAATATTTTAGCATGATAAAGAAAGGAACTTTAAAATAACCAATCAGCCTTAGATTTTTTTTTCATTACATGTATTTATTATGTTGTGTGTGGGAGTAAAGAATAACAAGAAAGTATTGTATTTAATGTCACTTGAAGCTCTGAGCTAAATGCTCTAACTAACCCCAGAAGAACGTACAGGGCA